GTAATATTGTGACTAGAAATAACAATATGCATAATAAATGTAATAAATAATAAATGTAATATCTACTTTATTTTTTGCTATTTTTATATACCTGCTTTCTTATTTGAGAGAGAAATCCTGTGAGGATAAGAAAGGTTTTATTTTCCTCACTTTATGGTGAAATTAAGTGATATGATCCCTATTATTTAGCAACTAAAATTCAAATGCAGCTCCCAACCCAGAACAACGCTTTTGTTTTTATCCACCAACAAGTTTTCCCCAGGAGATCCTAACATGTTCTCAATAGTTTCTGAGATAAACATTTCATTCTCCTAGAAGTCCGGAGAATTGGGAAAGGTCAAAACATATGTTCCTGAAAAAGCTTAAATGAGAACCACTGGTAACACTCAAAACTGTCAACTGTTTGCTCTGAAGTTAAATAATACTTCACTTCTTATTTTGCTAAGTGTTTCATTAATTTTCCACAATTCCTTTAAAAATACTATATGCTGAATGAAAATACTAAAGTAAATGAATATTTAAATAGAAAATAAAATACAAAAGTAGAAAATAAAACAAGAGCAGTGTGCTAGTTTTGGAATTTCTCTGTAATATAGTCTAAAACATTGCTAAGTTCTTTTAATAAAGAATATTCACTGAATTACTAGCCATTACAAAAGAAGATTCATTGTAAAACATTCCCATAAGCTAAACTAATTTTATAGTGATGTAGTAACATACATTTCATTAAATATTAACCAGGTCCATTTCTCTGAACATTCCCCATAAATATCCCAATACATTCCCAGAAGAACATTTCCATCGGTTTTACCCAAAGCTAGGATAATGTGCTATTTTTTTAATGATCTAGAAATAAATGTAGGTTACAAATCTGTTCATCAACATCACTTAAGAGTGGTGTTTATTTAAATATATATTTTAACCTGAATTGCATGATTGTAGGTATGTTTTTACTTTTTTAAATTCTTAGAGAATTCTTTCATTAGAAATGTAGCTACAAGACAAATTTTTAAATGTCATTCCCATTAAAAGCTACAAAGATATTTGGGTTGGCTGCGAGGCAAGCATCATGCTACCCAGCAGAGGTGCTGTTTTGTTTGATCCCATTGTTTTCAACTTTTTAGCAAGGGGAAGGAAGAATGAAAGCATAGACCTTTAAATTTGGATCAATTGGGGCCAGAGGTCTGAAGCACTCTGTTGAAATTGCTTAGAAGACTGCTCTTCTAAGAATGGTAAAAAGTAATCAATCAGGTGGAATTGTAGAGAATGAGAAAATGTGATTCAAGGAATGAAGAGAGTACAGAGGTAAGGGGCAAAGACACCTCTTTCTGCAGCATGCTATGGACTGAGATCATTTGTTGCATCTTCAGTCCAAACAGAAATCCATAGACTCTCTTTTGATTTGACCTCAAGGGGAAAATAGACAGCAAGAGAGTGGAGGCTGAAATGAAGAAAGAAACCCCCCAAAGCATGTTATCTTACACCCAGATTGAAGAATTCCTGTTGTTCAGGAGCTTAACATCATCCCTTGCTTTTTTCTTCGTGGGGTGCCCAAGATGGGGTAGGCCTTGTGCTTACTGTGTATGCTTTGGAGTTGGGGGTGGGGCAAAGGCAAATTGGGATGTGAACAAAGAAAACCATACCTGAGCATAGTTTTTGAGGATCAGAGAAGGTAGGCCGGCAGGAAACAGTTACAATGACTTGTAGAAAGTACTTTAACTAATGATAATCCACTAGTTGTGTTCTCTGCATAACCTGATTGCTTCACAGTATTCACCCGTTTAATCTTACTAACAATATTATGAACACAACATGTAACTAAAAACTTGTAATTACTGAGGGATCATTTTCTGTGTCCATCAAATAAACTACAGAAGCAAATAAATGCTCTTGTGCATATGGAATTTTGTCATATGGAATCTTGTCATATGGAATTTAGTTGTATGTTCTTCTTCAAAAATACCATTTGGGGCCCTCCCTGGTGGTGCTAGGGGTTAAGCACAGCATTATGAAGCTATCCACAGCCACTGCAGCATGACTTCAATTCCCAGCTAGGAAGGTGACCCCCATGGCACACCAGACCTCTCCTGTCCTGCCTGCTGCTCCCCTCAGCAGTATACTTCAGTCTATCTGCCTGTTCTGCTTCCCGCTCGGTCTCTGGCGAATCCTCTCACCCTCCCACACCACTGGCCTGCACCACGATTTTTGTATGCATAAATAAATCTTTAAAAAACTCTGTTTGTAGTCATTGCTTCACCAAGTTCAGCATTTTCCTATTCTTTTCAATTTTAGTTTATTACAAATACATATATATATTTTAAGCATTTACAGGTAGATCTTCAATGATACAGATAACATTAGTCTTCTTTGACCACCTAGATTTTGTTTCTGTTGCCTTGATAAATAACCACTTTCTACCGCCTCTGTGATTATTACTACCTAGCTATTCACTGCTTATTCTGCCTGGTCTGAGTGAAGATCTCTCACAGCTAGGGTCCACTTTCTTAATAACCCCACAACTTCCTCCCCTGACATCTACCTTCAGCAATTTGTGTAAAATAGACTTCTCACTAACTTGATGTTCCAATTCCCTTTCCTCTCTCTGTGCACTATTCTAAGCTACCACTTCTTGCTGCTCTTTCCTACCTAGTATACTGCAACTCTACATGCCCAGTGTGTTCAAATGCCCTCTCCTGCCTAAAGCCTTTCCTGGGTCTACAAGTGATTTTGCTTAATTAAGGTGCTGAAAATATTTATATAACATTTAATCATTTGATATTATATTCTTAGAGGGTTAAAATTTATACTCTGAAAATATGTGCTTAATAACAATTTTAAACATTGAGAGAACATGGTTTGATTTATCCCTTGCCTTTGTATTATTTATGTCATATTATTCTTTAATTGCTAGATGTGCAGGTGCTTCTGTTTGCTCTTATAAACAATTCTATAGGGAATATCTTTATATAAATGAATTTCTTTTTCTATCGCAATTGTGTCTATAGCATATATATTTTTAAAATAAATTTTGAGTTAAAGGGTATATGCATTTGCCAAATTATACACTAAAAAGGTCATACCTGTTAGATTCTTTCCAAAATAGGTAGGTTACTCCCTGATACCATTAGCAACAATTAGTTTATTCAGACTTTTCTTATTCTATAGGCAAAAATATGTTTTGTTATTTTAATTTAACTTTAATTAGTGATTAGACAAATTTTTATGTTTATTATCTTTATAAGAGTTTTCTTCTTTGAATTGCTTAAGAGTATCCAATTTTTTCCCCTAGTCTATAGCTTTCTTCTCACTGGATTTAATGAGTTGCATATTATACTAAAGAAGTTATTTTTTCATGTCCTTTTTGGAATCGATTCTAATACCTACTTGTACATAATTGTTGGTAAGTAAAGAACACTTGATTTCTTAAAGTTTCATTGGACAAATTATAAAAATTGTTTAAAAAGGATTGTGTAGCATAAACCATGGGTCATTTTGTGTAAGAAATGAACTTGACATTTACTGAGTGTCTGCTTTGTGCTAGAACTCTGCTATGTGTGGTCACATATTTTTCTGCATAAGTCCTTTGAGAAACACAGTGAGGTAATTATTTTTATCTCTAGTTTTATAGAGATTAAAGCAACTGAGTCAAATAACTTCAGCAAATTGGTCAAGAACAAGTAACAAGTGAGTAAAACTAGGGAGTTTAATCTGTGTCTTCCTCATTCTAAATTCTATGTGTTTAAGTCTTAGTCATAATGTACAACATCAATTATGTCTTGCTCATAGAAGACAATGATGTTGGCTGCAAGATGGAATGAATATTCAGAATATTGTGAAGTAAATCAGTTTGACCGAAAAATGTCTCAATACTTGGCAATGAGTCTACTGCCCATTATATATATGATCACTCAGACAGAATAGAACCAGCCACCGCCAAGCATCTACTTCCTTCCCAACAAGTATTATGAAAGGAGAGCCAAGAGCATTAATACATACAAAGGGTAAAAATTCACCATTGAGCCGTTACTTATTTGGAACTACATTTAATAAAATGGTTGCATAGCATATTAGGAAGCATCTGGACATATTTCATCCTGAAAATTGTTTACTTAGTAGCTTAGTAGCTTCACTACCCTGACCTTTGGTTAGGTAGATGAATAACGGTGACTAACACAAGCTACATTCATAGCAGTGCTGCTGACAAATCTATCTGCTTCTTTTCCCATATAGAGATGGTCATGTTTTTTATACAGGAAATACAAGGAGACTAATATTTTTTGTACTAAATAATTTCCAAAGACAGTTTCTCAGAGTAAAAATCCTATAGTAAGTAATGCATTAACTAGCTATCAATAAATTGCATAACATACTACATCCCTAAGAGAGAAACTAAATGCCTAGTCATGAATGTCTACTAACTTTGGTACAAATATAGGTGGGGAGCAGCAGAAAAGATTTTCTATGAATTAGTAGAATGGGAAAAAGATAGCTTTCTAAGAAACTACAAGTTGCCACCTTTGCCAGTCACATATAAATAGCTTTTACTAATATATTTCAAACTAATTGACATAACATAGAGTATTAAGTTGTTCAAAATGAAAGAGCCCTTGGATCATCCATATCATTGATTTCCAGCTCTAGCCATGTATTAGAATAACTTTTGATGGGGCCCCTTGTACCTTATTTTTTCAAAGTCCACCAGATTATTTTATTATGTGTAACCATGACTGAAAATCACTAACATTTGTGTTAGATTAACTTACATTCATTCCCCCCAGCTTTTTGAAATAGGTTTTGTGCCAGAATATGGGTATCCTGAATGTCAACATAAATGGGAAAAGAAAAGACTCCTTGTTGTCATTGGACATGCAGACTGGGCAAACCCACCACTGCTGCTCATTTGACTTATAACACTATGAAAGCAACAAAAGAACCAACAAGAAAATTGAGAAGGAGGCTGCTAAGATGGGAAACTAAAAGGTTAACACGACCATAATATTATGATTAATATCTCCCTGTGGAAATTTGAGATCAGTGAGTATTACATGACCATCATTGATGCCTCAGGACACAATGACTTTATCAAAAACATCATTACAGGCACATCTAGAAAAGACCATGCTGTCCTTCTTGTTGCTGATAGTATCACTGCATGGAAAGCCAGTATTGTCAAGGATGGGCAGACCCATCGGCATGCCCTTCAGCCTTCAAGTTGTTTACAGGATGTGAAACAACTAATTGTTAATATTACCAAAATTAATTCCATTGGGCCCTTGCTGGTGGCACAACAAGTTATAGTGCAGCACACTGAAGCTATTCGCAGCCACTGCAGCAGGAGTTCAATCCTATGGCACAGCAGACCTCTCCTGTCCCGCCTGCTGCGCCCCTCAGCAGTGTATTTCAGTCGATCTGCCTATTCTGCTACCTAGTCTGTCTTTGGTAAATCCTTTCACCCCCTGCACCTCTGGCCTGTACCCCAGTTCTTAGATACATAAATTAAAAAATATTTAAAAGAAGGAAATTCCACTCAGCTCACTCGACAGCCAGAATAGGTATGAGGAAAATGTCAAAGATATCAGCACCTACCTTAAGAAAATTGGCTCCAACCCCAATGAAGCAGCATCTATGCCAGTTTCTGGTTGGAATTGTGACAATGTGCTAGAATCAAGTGTTATCATTTTGTGGTTCAGGGGATGGAAATTCACTTATAAAGATGGCAATGCCAGTGAAACTTCAAGTTTCAAAATGCTTGAAGCTCTGGATTGCATCTTGCCACCAACTTGCCCAACTCACATACCATTGTACCTGCCCCTCCGGGGTGTTTATAATTGGCGGTATTGGGACTCTGTCAGCTGAGTTAAGAAAAATGTCCTCAAATCTGTTATGATAGTCACCTCTACTACAATAAGTGTTACAACTGAAGTCACAATATTTGGAGAATTAATATTTTGACTTCTGGGCTGATCACAGTAGCTTTCCCACCATCAAAGCACCCCTGGTCTTCCATCCTAGCCCACTGTGCTCACCCCTTCTTTTTAGACACATATGTTTTGCATAATAAAAATATCTTCTCTTTTCACTTTCTATGCTTGATAAATCTCGACTAATTCTTCACATTTAAGAATTAGTGTCAGGTTGAGTTATGAGTACATTTTAAAAAGAGCATAAAAAGTATTCAATACATATAATTTCAGAGTCACTTAATGATTGGTATTTTTGCCATCACAGCTCTTGACACAAAGAACAGCTTATTTGTATCAGTATATTATGTTAGAAATAATGTAACTGTTTTGCCTTTAGCTTAAGATGAGCTGGATTTTAAAAGAAGCACAGGAAACAGTTTTAAACTGGACAAAATGAGACATGATGTCCAGGTGTGAATTTTCTAAGATTTCACATTAAATATAAAGCTTTTGCAGTGATTGGGATGGCACAGTGATTTAGACCATAATAGCATTTTTTTTTTACATACAATTTTGTACATAGCATTTTATTCCAAAAGATAATCGTAGACAGTATTAGACATGTTACAACTAATTTAATATACATTTAAAAGTTGATTTAGGTTTGGTATAGAAAAGTTAATTGAGTAACCAAAGTACGATCCGTTACTAACCATGTATTCCTCAGTAAGAAGTAAAGACTGTTACATTCCGTATTAAAACTGACCTAGAGGTACATCGACATAGTTCAATTCAGTCCAATATTGATATGGAAATCCCATAGCAATTTAGTGCATTTATGTACCAAAGTAGACTAACCAACCTAACTCCTTCGAAGACAAGAAACAAAGGCATTTTTCTCTCAGCATAGTTATGAACGTTTGTTCGATCTAGGAGTGATTAAAAAAAAAAAAAAACAGCCAACACTTTTGATGGCTTCATCACTACCTTGAAGGGAAATGTTCAATAGTATGAGTGTCTCTGTTCCTGCTAAACTTTGCTTCAGACTCATGCAATTTTCATACATAGAAGGTCCATCGAAATCATTCCTCTCTTATTCCTCTTTCAAATGGAGTCAGTGAGGATGGTGACCATGCACTAGCATTGCTTTAGTCTACTGCTAGTGTTTGTTGTGTGATAAATACTATTTATCTTTCCTTCAAATGATATTTTCTTGTAAACTCTCCACAGTTTTACCATGCACTTTTCAGTGTTCCAGACAAAGGAATGCTAACAAGATCATTAAGCCCGTGGTGGTTCCCCGCCGATGATAAAAGATTATCTTCATAGCCATCGACACACCACAGGTCTAATTAACACAACATAGGCTACCAATATGAGTCTATCACAGAGAGGTGGCATTTTTCCAAGATGATAGTACTCATGCCATTATCCTGATAACCCATCTGGATCCATCTTTTCTGAACTGTTAGTGCCTCCGTAAGAGTGGCATAATGCCATACAACCATACGGACAAAAAATGTAAACAAGCCAAAAATGTGTGATAAGAAATTTGTTTAATATGGCAGAATTTCCGGCCAGAATTTCCAATACAGTTGCCTTCTCCTGCTTTGTTTCCAAATCAGAAGAAATGCAGTTGTATACCCTCAGAACTAAATTCTAAACCCAGACAAGACCAAAGTTAAAGTAGGGGTGTGTATGCACCATCAGGCAATCATATAGAGGCATTTCAATATGGGTGACTATTTAAATCAAAGGAGGAAAGAGTCTATGGACACAGAAGGAAGAAAATTCTTTGTCATGGGTATTAAACAATTTTTCTTCAATTTAAAGTATATAGTGAATGCCTTGTACATTTACATATTACTTTCCAGCCCCGATTTCAGAAAACAATTCATATTGGAATAGTAACTATATATACATTAAAAATGATCATGGAAGCCCTCCCTGGTGGTGCAGCGGGTTAAAGCACAGCACTAAGAAGCTAAAGCCACTTCCGCATGAGTTCAATCTCCGCCTGACCCGGAGGTGACCACATGGCGTGGCAGACCTCTCCTGACCCACCCGCTGCTCCCCTCAGCAGTGTACTTTGTCGATCTGCCTGTTCTGTTCCCCGCTCTGTCTCAGGTGAATCCTCTCATTGCCCCCTCATCTCTGGCCTGTACCCCAGTCTGTATGCATAAATAAATAAATCTTTTTAAAACAATGATCATGGAAAGTTGTAGAAGTAGGTATCTACAAAAATGAGAAATTCAAGATTATAGTTTTCTGTTTTCAAATCCTTTCTAAACTAACACATAGATACACACAAATTGACAAATAATATATGTCCAACTCACCTCCTGAAGTTGTTGCTACAAGTGAAAACAATGATAGCAATGTATTCCAGAAAACTTTTTTGTTCACACACTCAAATTGTGCTAGTGCATATTGAGGAATATTGTCAAATAGAATTAACTTAAACATTTTGTAAAATATATGCCTATGTATTTTAAGGGTTATTACTGTCCCTTCACTGGCAAAAACAGTGATAATATTTTAACTCTCTACCACCACCACCCCTCCACCTCTCTGGATTGTCAATCAGAAACAGCATTCTAAATCTGCGTTTTAATAAGGTCCCCCTCAGTTCTTTAGACTCACCATGTTGTCCCTCAACACCAGGTCTTTACTGTTCCTCCAGCCTGGAAAACTCTTCATCAACACTTCTACTTGTATTCGAGTGAATGCCTAGTTATCATTCATTGCTCGCATGCTCTGAGAGTCTGAATCTCAAGTATCTTTTAGAGATTTCCCCTACAGAATTCCATAACACTTATTTATGGCACACACAATTTTTAATTATCTATTTAATTGCTTAGTTTCTGTTTATTTCTCTTCGAAGGCATTGCTTTTTGGCTCTATGCCTGTGTCTGTTCTATTCATTCACCATTCTCAGTGTAGTATGCTGTGCTCTAGCCACTCAGATTTTCTCTCATTTCTTGACCACTAGGTTCCCAACCACTCCTGAGTCTTTGTCCTTATTGTTCCGAGGGCTGCCCAATTAGCTTAGTGAACTCCTACTTACCCTTCCTATATTGAAATATCTCCTCAGAAAAGTTGTATATAATCTGCAAGATACTACTAGTCACCCCATTTTATTTGAATAGTATTTAGCAGAGTTTAAAGTTTTATGCTTCCGTGAATTATTTGATTAATGTTTATATGCTCCACATAACTCTAATTTCTAAGAGAATAAAGATCTCTAGGGCCTATCATATAAACTGGTCGATTAATCAGTAACAGTGTCTACAGCTACTTTCTGTTAAATAAGTAAATATTTGCAAAAAAGTGACATGTTAATCCACAATCAAGAATAAATAACCCCATATAGATTAATTTATCACCTTTGAGAAATGTGCGTGCTCTTGAAGGAATAAAGGATAGGACAGAAACATTTTAATTACAGATAGAAGAGAGACAAACTAGCCCGAGTCCTAGATGTGCTGCTTAGAGCGGTCACCACTAGTGCAAAATCAAAATGTGTTTTCTCATTTGTAAAGGGAGAATCATGTGAATACCTATCTCTTAGAATAATTGTGGCGATTAATGAGTACTTAGCATATTGTGTGTAACTGGTTAAGCAATCAGTAAGTGTTATGCACTCAATTTCCTACAATGAAACACTAATTGTGAGTATGAGCAAGATAACAGCAGCGGGCATATAAGACAAATGAAAAAGAAGCTCAAAAGTATGGTGAGAGGATACAAACCCCAGCGCCAGTCTCACTTCGTTACAAGTAGTGGTAGAGGGGCACCCTGGACCCCCAAACCTGCCCACTCTAAATAGTGTTTGCCATCTGCCTTTATCAGGTCTCCTTCTGGCTCTCCACCCTGTTTCTTTCTTCTTCAGTCTCCTCTCTAGATTCTTCTCCTCCCTGCTCACACCACCCTCCTTTGTGGGGCAGGGAACGTGGAATCTCCCCTTTTCCTGGGGACCACCTTGTTATCACTTCAAATGCTAAAAGCAAATTCTGGAGCCCTAAGTCATCACCTCAAAATACTTCTGAACTTCTAGACATGGTGAGCTTGAACTATGGTTTATTCAAGGAAAAAAAATGCTTTGTATTTCTCATTTCAGGTGCAGATGGTGTGAACTTACACCAAAGATCAGGCTTTCATCAACTAGTTTTTGGTGACTGAAAGGTTTGGCACAGTAGGGCTGATGCAAAGAGATAGCAAAGCCAGTAAAACCGAAATTAGGTTTATTTCTGTGCTGCCAGGCAAGGTTCACTGACCCCAGAGTGAGTTGAGGAGAGTAGCTGCTCTGAAGGAAGGCTAAGAGGGGATTTTATAGGCCTAGGTAGCAGGGAGAAATGGCCAGGTGTTTCTTTCCACCTGCGCTCTCCTTCTGTGGGCAACCTCCTTGCCTGCCCGTGACCATGCCAGGACTTCTCTGACTGACTTCCCCCAGTGGAGGCTGCTCTCTCCTTAGGCGTCTGCCTGCAGCCATGCAGGCCTCTGCCTCTGCAAGCCTGTCACTTTGGGGCAGCTCTCCCTGCCCGCTTGTGCCTATGCAAGTGTCTTTTCCTTGCCTGTCTCTTTCTAATAAACTTTCTCTTTAAATATAACTGAGTCTCTGTCTCGTGAAGAATCTCACCCTGTGCTGCTTAAAGGGGAGCTCTGGTGAAACCTTTCTCAGAGTGAACCCAAGAACCCCGAACTCAAAAGACGACATCAGCAGATTTTGTTCTCTGCAGCTACATGTTATCTTACTGTAGTGATAAATTTTATTTTGATTTGTTTTTAGTTTATCCTCACCAATATTGATGGGTAATTTACAGTTTTTACTATTTTAAATAATGTTGCTCTCTCTATATATAGACACACTTACATATATACATACACATACATATGCACACACACTGACCATATCTTGTCATACTTCAGTTAGTATAATCAAAGAGCAAATTCTAAGCAATGGATTTATTGGGTCAAGTGGTAT